GTGACCTTCAAAGGTCCCTTCCAACCCAAACGATCCTTTGGTTGATTCCATCCCACCTCATTCCTTCTTGACCACTCCAGGTGTCCCGGTGGCCGACATCTTCCCGATGGAACCACCAACCTTGGGTGAACCCAACACCTTGGTGTGTCTGGTGGGGAACATCTTCCCACCAGCGCTGGAGATCAACTGGCAGCTGAATGGTGTCACCGTCACCGAGGGGGTGACCCACACCCAGTACACCCCCACCGATGACCTGGCCTTCGTCCGCTTCTCCTACCTCCAGGTGACACCCACCACCGGTGACATCTACACCTGCATCGTCACCCGCCAAGGGGACAACACCTCCGTCATCGCCTACTGGGGTGAGGGGACACCAAGCTCGGTGGTGACCCAGGGTGTTGCCACCAAGGGTATTGTCACCAAGGGTGGTGTCACCAAGGGTGAGCACATGAGGGGACACCAAGCTCGGTGGTGACACCTCAACCTCTTGGTGTCCCTCCATCCCCAGTTCCCCAGAACCCCGTCCCCACCAAGGTGCTGGAGATGGCCTTGTGTGGCGCCGCCATCACCTTGGGCGTCCTCTTGGCTCTCCTGGGCGTGGTCATGATCGTGGTGACACGACGGAGCAATGACGGTACGACAGGTCACCCGGGAAGGGGTGGGAGGTGAGGATGGGGACGGTCACCAGCCCCGCTGCCATCTTGGTTGTCCCCATCTCCTCACTTGGTTGTTGTCTCCACCCCACCCAGGCTGAAGATGGTGGAGAAGATGGAGCAGGATGGAGATGACGACGTGGTGGGTGATTAAACATCTCGCCCGTGGTTGTGTCCCGTGTCCTCGGGTCTCTGCGTGTCCCCAGCCCCGCACCGTGGTGGCTTCTCCACTGGCTGATATTGGGGTTCAGCTGCATCACGTTGTCATTGTCCCCCCTAAACAAGTAATTTCTGGAGTCTATGCCTCAGTTTCCCCTCTGGGAATGGGTTGGAGAGCAGGCGGTGGCCATGGAGAAGACACGGTGGTGGCTTCTCTGATGTCTGATATTGGGGTTCAGCTGCATCACGTTGTCATTGTCCCCCCTAAACAAGTAATTTCTGGAGTCTATGCCTCAGTTTCCCCACTGGGAATGTCTTTAGAACAGGAGATGACCATGGAGAAGACCTGGTGGTGGCTTCTCCACTGGCTGATATTGG